CCTAATTGGTTTGGCTCAATGGATAGAGTCTACCTGAGGAAGGAAGGTCCTGGGTTTGATTCCAGTCGGGTACATGCCCCGATTGCTGGCTCGATCCCCAGTAGAGGGCGTGCAGGAAGTAGCCGATGAATGATTCTCATCATTGATGTTTCTCTCTCTCTTCCTCTCTGAAATCAAAAAAATATGCTGAAAAAAAGATCCATGTGAGAGAGGCACATCATCTGATTGCCTCCCGCACTCACCCTGACCGGAGCGTGGGGTTAAGCTTACAACTGGCAAACATGCCCTTGACTGGAATCAAACCTGGACCCTTTGACGCTCTATCCTCTGAGCCAAACGGGCTAGGGCGAGTCAATTCAATCTTAATACTATTGGTTTTCTAAAAGTGTTTGGCTTAGTGGATGGAATGTCAGCCTGTACACTGAGGGGTCCTGGGTTTGGTCCAGTCAAGGGCACATGCCTGAGTTGTGGGCTCCGTCCAATGTGCAGGAGGCAGCCAACCAATGATTCATTCTCATCATTGATGTTTCTATCTCTTCCTCTCCCTTCCTCTCTAAAATCAATAAAAATATATATTTAAAAAAAAATAGCTGAAACCGGTTTGGCTCAGTGGATAGAGTGTTGGCCTTCGGACTGAAAGGTCCCAGGTTCGATTCCGGTCAAGGGCATGTACCTGGGTTGCGGGCATATCCCCAGTGGGAGATGTGCAGGAGGCAGCTGATCGATGTTTCTCTCTCATCGATGTTTCTAACTCTCTAGCCCTCTCTCTTCCTCTCTGAGAAAAATCAATAAAATATATATATTTTAAAAAAACTAAAAATGTTTTTATTTTCTAGAGGGAGAGGGAGAAGAAGAGACATCAAAGATGAGAATCATCGATCAGTTGCCTCCTGCGTGCCCCCTACTGGGATTGAGCACCCATCCTGGGCATATGCCCTACCAGGAATTGAACCAGTGATCTCTTGGTTCATGGGTCCAACGCCACCCACTGAGCCACACATTTCCCCCTTCCTGCTCCTCCTTTGCCTCCCACTACCCTGCCTCCATTGCTTGTAGGAGCTCACCACATTATGATCTGGGTCCATGAGCTATGAATATGGATATACTTTAAGTATATATACTTACATTATATATATAAAATATACATAATATATATATGTGTGTATATATATATATATATTAGACAGAGGGAGTGAAAAAGAGAAACATCAATAATGAAAATCACTGATTACCTGCCTCCTGCAAGTCCCCCCCACACCGGGAATCGAACCCTTAACCAACGTATGTGCCATGACCAGGAATAGAATCTGACCTCCTGGATCATAGGTTGACGCTCAACCAAACAGCGCCACCAGCTGGCCTATCTTTGAAACATTTTTTGAAATATGTATTTTTTATTGTTCATACTATTCCCCTGGGTATAGGTTCTTTGGGGGATCTGTTCCCTGGTGGGGCCTGTCAGTCTGTCCCCGTGAACCCGGCCTCTGGTCCCATCTCCTCTCCCCCAGGGCCACTCACTGGCAGCGCGGGTTGGAAAGCCAGCCCTCTGCTGGGCGGTGGAGAAAACTACATTACCCAGAAGGCAATGCACCCACGTAGTGCGTTTTTGTGCGAGTGCATCCGGTTAGGGCGGGACTTCCGGTGTCCTCCTCCTGGCGGACATTTTGACTTTTTCAAACTGTTCGCCGGCTCCCGGGGCTGCAGCGCGTCGGTCGCGAGGAGGAGGGGACGGGAAGGCAGCGCCCCGAAGGGCAGGGTGTGTCTGAGCCTGTGGCGCCGCCACCTTCGATTTTGGGACGTCCGCGCCTCCCCGACTCCTCTCCGCCGACATAAGCCCCTCGGCCTCAGCCCATCGGACCCTCCAGCCTCGGGGCCGGCGCCGCTCGGGTCCCGCCGCCCAGGGCGCAGCGTCCAGCGCCGTGAGTCCCCGTGGGGCCCCGGGGTGTGAGGGGAGGGCGGGCGCCGGGCTGCGGGGCCGCCGGGGGAGGCCGTGGGGGCTGAGCCGGGAGGGGGCACCCAGGCCTGGTTTGTGTCTCAAGGCGACAGAGAGGCCGAGCGGCGGGTCCGGGAGGAGGTTCGCTTCCTGCTCAGGGCGCCGGGGCGGGTGGTGGTTGTGAACAAAGAGGGACCTTGAGCCCCGAGGGAGGCGGCCTCACCCGCCCGGGGCTGGGCCAGGGCCCTGAGCAGCCGGAGCCCCTGGGTCCTGGGGTGGGTGCCCGGCCCTCAGCCCTTTCGTTCCCACCGGTTCCTGCGGGGGCAGAGCCGCTGGGGGGCGGGGCTGGGGGGCTCCTGTCAGGGCCTCACTCTCTGGTGGCCTCTGAGGTCGTGGTGCCCGTGGGGCCGTCGGCCCCTCTTCCCGCCCTGGGCCCCGGGGACACTCAGCCCAGAGTCCTGAGGCTACGACTGGGGCTTTGGTGTAATGTACCCCGCGAATCACAGAAGGACGCCTCAAGAAGTTGAATTAGTCACATTTATTGCAGTCCAGGACTATGAGGGGCCATTCCCCAAATCTCATAGTAACAAGGCTGTCACAGCTCCAGGGTTATATAGGCAAAAAATCACAAAGGTATCGATTACATCCCAGGGTCTGGAATGAGGAGCCTGGCTCGCAAAAAGCAGTTTACAGAAGCTGAAATAGCATGGTAATTATAGGGGGGTCACTGAATTGACAGAAATACATTATCTGGAGCCCTCGGTCTGGAATGAGGAACCTAGTTTGCAAAAATCAGTTTAAACAGCGTGTTATAAACACATTATCTAGAGCCCTTGGGTAACCTGGGTTAAACTTAGGCATGTTATCTAAATTACGGTTTTGGGTCTAGAGCCCTCTGACCTTGGGATAACTGTGCTGTCCTTCCCAGGTGAAGGAAAAATGTGCTCAGACCAGTATAACCACAACCCATGGGATATTCACATTACAATCAATAAGGCATTTAATCGAATGGGATGGTTTATATAATTCAGAAAATCAAAATATAACCTGTCCGTTGTTAAACAAAGCAAATAGGTACCATACTTCAGCTTTATGACGTGGACCCTGGTTTTGGCGACGAGTGGAGTGAGAGGTGGGGGGTCCTCCCAGGCACAGGGACCAGAATGTGCAAAGGCTCAGAGTGAAGACTGAGCTCCTTCAGGAACCATCAGATACACACACACACACACACACACATATATGTGTGTGTGTGTGTGTGTGTATATCCACGTATGTATGTATGTATATACATATATAAGCACGTGTGTGTGTATGCGTATACATATATTAGGTCTATTTTCATTTATATACACATATATATATTTTTTTCCAGTAGGAATAAGTCTTTATTCATTCATTTTATTTTCCCAGAGAAAAGAGGGGAAGGGAAAAAGTCAGCATGTGTTTTACAAAACGATAAAAAGTGCAAGTACCCAGCACAGCAAAATCAACCATCAAATAAAACAGTCCCCAGTGATGGAGGTCACCAAAGCCCAAGGGGGCTCAGTCCCCTGCAGTTTAGACATGGGATGGAATCAGGGGAAAAAACAGACAGGTACATGCTTTCCTACCCTCGCTCCCTCCCACCCCAAGATTTCACACAAAGCTTTGGTTTCTAGCAGTAAACATGGAGTTACATTCGTCCGTCTCCTGTTAAACAATCGTGTGGCTGCTTTGACATAAGTTTTTTTTTGCACCGGCATAAAAGTTCCTGAGTGACGTGGATATACATTCATCTCCCCTTTCTTGGTGTCCCAACCCCATTTTCAAAATGAAAGGCCCCCTCATTGCTGCTCTCTACCCTAGGATTAGAGATTAAAACATAGCAATCTGAATCACCTATCAAGAAATGGTCTTCACTCAGGATATTGGGAAGAAAGGATGGAGTATTCTTAACTTCTTCAGGATTTTTGCACCAATCATTGAAGAGACGGGGTGACACCCCACACTTTAAATGTGTATGCATGTGGGTAAATGGGCTTTTTGGGGTGCGGCTAGAAGAGGGTCCGAGTCAAATTTTAAGGACAGAAGATCTGGTCCGAAATAGAAAATAGGGGAAGAGAAAACAAAAGAAAGGATGTTTCAAGACCCCCACTTCAAGAAGAGGTGTTCCCAAGGTTATGTTTCAGATCCTTTATGCCTGGTGCAGAACCTTTTGTCAAAGATGCTTTGGCTATTTTTCTCAATAAAAAGGAAGTTTGTAAACAATAAGTCCCCAAAAGAACATGGAGAAAGACCAACACATTTACACAGGCTAGACCACCTAGCAATCACCAAATCAGCTACTGTGAAGTCCTGCAAAGCCCAGACAAACACAATAACTAGAGGGGGGCAGCAATTGGGGGGACAAGAACCCAGGATCAGACACACATCGCCCAATGCATCCTATTGCATTTGCCCCGTTTCAACACAGTGAGGCAGGTTTTCAGGGATCTCACAGCTTGTTAACGAAACCCGCTTTCCTCCTTTAGCTACGAAGACACTAATCGTTGCTGCAGCAGGGAAGGACACTGGCTGAGCACCACAGAGAAGCCACTGCTTATGGTCTCTCTGGAAGCCAAAGAGAAAAAGCAAAGAGTTTTTATTTTTATTTTTTTAAATATATATTTTATTGATTTTTCACAGAGAGGAAGGGAGAGGGATAGAGAGTTAGAAACATCGATGAGCTGCCTCCTGCACACTCCCCACTGGGTGTGTGCCCGCAACCAAGATACATGCCCTTGGCCAGAATCGAACTCGGGACCCTTGAATCCGCAGGCCGACGCTCTATCCACTGAGCCAAATCGGTTAGGGCAAGTTTTTAAAGGTTAAGGAATTTAGTCGTTGCTTCATATATCCACCCCTGGGCAGCTCAAGATGGGTAGAGAGGTAAGTGTTCTTTTTTTTCTTTTTTTTTAAAAATATATTTTATTGATTTTTTTACAGAGAGGAAGGGAGAGGGACAGAGAGCCAGAAACATCGATGAGAGAGAAACATCGATCAGCTGCCTCCTATACACCCCCTACTGGGGATGTGCCCGCAACCAAGGTACATGCCCTTGACCGGAATCGAACCTGGGACCCTTGAGTCCACAGGCCGAGGCTCTACCACTGAGTCAAACCGGTCAGGGCATGGTAAGTGTTCTTAAAAGCTCTCTTTATCAACACACACATACGCCTTGTTGTGCCTGGTAGGCCTAGCCCAGTCCAGTTAGGGATGGATCTGGTATGTAATGGTGAGTCCCAACCCCCTTGGATTACAGGTATGGGGACAGGGATCCTTGGTTAGACATATATAGACAACCTGCATCTAATCTTGGCTTCCCCTCTGTACCTTTCACCTAGCCCAGCCTCTCCTAACCTTTGCACCAACCACTGATTCCTGTTCAGACCAATTTCCAACCTTCTAGTAAGAGATCAGGTAATGAGGCTACTCCATTAAAATCTAGTCTTCCACAAAACATTGAAGATGGAGGGGGTTCAAGAGGATACTATGGTCCTAACTGGTTTGGCTCAGTGGATGGAGCATCGACTTGCGGACTGAATGGTCCCAGGTTCGATTCCTGCCAAGGGCATGTACCTTGGTTGCAGGCACATCCCCGGTAGGAGATGTGCAGGAGGCGGCTGATCGATGTTTCTCTCTCATTGATGTTTCTAACTCTCTATCCCTCTCCCTTCCTCGCTGTAAAAAATCAGTAAAATATATATTTAAACAAAAAAAAAAGAGGATACTATGGCAGAAAAGCCAGCTCTAATTGGCAGAAATGAGGTAGTTCAATAGACTATACACTCCAAATAGGTGTTCTCCCTGATGATGAAGCAAAGTGTTCCTGCTGTGCAGACCCCGAGCTCCTGCCCACTTATCCCTGAGATTGCTCATGTACCTGAGAACACAGTGCAGGAATGAGGGCTGTAGATTAAAATACAGAAAAAGCCGAACCGGTGTGGCTCAGTGGATAGAGCGTCGGCCTGCGGACTGAAGGGCTCCAGGTTCGATTCCGGTCAAGGGCATGTACCTTTGTTGTGGGCACATCCCCAGTGAGGGGTGTGCAGGAGGCAGCTGATGGATCTTTCTCTCTCAGTGTTTCTAACTCTCTAGCCCTCTCCCTTCCTCTCTGTAAAAAAAAAAACCAATAAAATATTTAAAAAATAAAATAAAATACACAAAAATACAAACCCAGAATATTTATATTACGAAAAGAAAAAAAAAGTCTAAATGCACAAGATAAGTCATTCGCACACAGCTAGTGCAGTGGCATCCAGGAGAGAGTGGGACACGAGGTGCAGTTAGCCAAGGGACCCAATAAATACAATTGTATTGGTCCAGAAATGGGGGGGTGTGGTGAGCTGAGGAGCTGCAGGTCTGCAGCTGTTCCCCAACCATCCCTTTTGCCTATCGTCACCACCCATTGCCTGGGGACAGTTCTCAGCACCCAATCCCAAATAGTGGGTTACCAGGAGATAAGATGTGGGAAAACCCTCCCACAGAATGCAGTCGTTTGTGGTCTGGGTTCTGGTCTCATGTTAATCTTTTCACTTTGCCAGGGGAAGTATTATTATTACTTGTCCTTCTTTCAAAGGAAAACAACTTGCCTATCCAGGCCACTTTCCAAAGATGGAGATTCTGGGGGTGGAGACTCAAATGTAGGGAGGGAGTTCCCCCAACGCCCTCACAGGCTTCTGGATCCAATGCGGTTGGAGTTCCTTTACCTCCCCCCTCCCCCCCCTGCCCCAGCCAAGAGGGAAGAGGGGGTGATGCTGTGGAACCCGGCCAGAGCTACCTGGCAGTGCCTGCTGCCCCCACCCACCCTGCCCCCACTTTCTCCGATCTGCCGATCGATGCCTGCTCCTTGAAGCTTTCTGATCACAAAAGCATAGCCCCCGGCACCCACTGTGGCTCAATTCTGGGCACCTGGGAGCAGGGCAGGCATATGGACCTCTTCTTCTTCATCCCGAAAGTAGGCTGGCTTTCCCTGTGAGCTGGGGGCCTGCTGGGCCTTCAGTGGACAGGACGCCACCATGTGGCTGATGCTTTGGTAGAAGTGGCACTTCTTGGGCTGGGGTGGGAGCTTGCTTTCCTTGGCGTGATGGTGTAGACCAGTGATGGCGAACCTTTTGAGCTCGGCGTGTCAGCATTTGGAAAAGGCCTGACTTAACTCTGGTGCCGTGTCACATATAGAAATTTTTTCATCTTTGCAACCATAGTAAAACAAAGACTTATATTTTTGATATTTATTTTATATACTTAAATGCCATTTAACAAAGAAAAATCAACCAAAAAAAATGAGTTTGCGTGTCAGAGGTGTCAGAGATGTCAGAGGTTCGCCATCCCTGGTCTAGACCTCCGCAGTGGTAGCACCTGTCTCCCTTTGACCTGCGCCTTCTGCGCGTCCTTCCCTTTTGGCCGCCTTTCACTCCCAATACAGAACCCCCACCAGGGCCAGTGACTCCGACAGATTCCAGGCCCTTGGCGGCCTTCTTAAAGGTGAACTCCACTGCCTCACCCTCCTTCAGGCGCCGGGAGCCCTCCAGGTGCAGTTTACTCTGGTGCACAGACATCCACGGGTGGGTCAAGCGCAACCCCCGCACAGGCGGTCATGGGGGAAGCCGAACCCCACGCGCTCGTTAAACCACTTACAGATGCCGGCTCCCTGCAGCCGCTGCGGCTCCTCCACTGCCCGGGCCTCGTCCCCCCGCGCCGCCTCTGGCGCCTTGGCGCAGCCGCCTGCAAATTGCTGGTTTGACACGGAGCCGTGGTCGTTGGCTGGGCCCGTGGCCCGGGCCCCAGGTCGGGTGGCTGCTGGCCCCAGAGAAGTCCGGAGGCAAAGGGGTGGCTCTGAGAAGAGGCTGCTACATCTTCCCCAGCACCTACACATATATTCTTAATTGACTTTAAATATAGAAAGGAAGGAAGAGGCAGGCAGACAGACAGTGATGAGCAAGAAACAAGGATCTGTTGCTGTTGCACAACCCGTTCTATGGGTCCAGCCCACAACCCAGGCCTGTGACTGACCAGGACTGGAACCTGCCACCTCTCAGCGCCTGGGTCGATGCTCAGCCCACGCAGCCACATCAGCCAGGACCGTAGATCACTTTAATACGGGGATCCATGGTCAGGATGGTAATGGTAGTGGTAGCTCACAGGGACAGTGTGACCCTGAGGACTGGTTTCCTGCTGGGGCCTCTGTTTGTGGGAGGTGGGTGTCATAACACAACAAAGGGGCAGAGTGGTCAGGTAGAGTGTTGGGGAGAGAGAATGGTTTCCCAGTGGCCAAGGCCTTTATTTATTTTTTATTTTTGTTTTGTTGATTTCAGAGAGGAAGTAAGAGGGAGAGAGAAAGAGAGAAACATTAATGATGAGGGAATCATTGATCTGCTGCCTCCTGCATGTCCCATACTGATGGTGGAGCCCACAACTGGGGCGCGTGCCGTTGATGGAAATAAAACCCGGGACCCTTCAATCTGCAGGCCAATGCTCTATCCACTGAGCCAAACTATCCAGGGCTGGCCAAGGCCTTTAAAAGGTAAATTGGCCCTGGCCGGTTTGGCTCAGTGGATAGAGTGTCGGCCTGCAGACTGAATGGTACCGGGTTCGATTCTGGTCAGAGGCACGTGCCTGGGTTGCAGGGCTGGTACATACATATTTACTTCTCTAAAGACTCACCAGGATTTTGTTGTGACCCTTGGTGTGGCCGAGGGTGTGGCAGTCAGTCTTAGGGATTCGCTTAGACCAGGGGTGGGCAAACTTTTTGACTCAAGGGCCACAATGGGTTCTTAAACTGGACTGGAGGGCCGGAACAAAAGCATGGATGGAGTGTTTGTGTGAACTAATATAAATTCAAAGTAAACATGATTACATAAAAGGGTACGGTCTTTTTTTTTTTTTTTTTTTTTTTTTAGTTTTATTCATTTCAAACGGGCCGGATCCGGCCCACAGGCCGTAGTTTGCCCATGGCTGGCTTAGACTCTCTCTCTCTCTCTCTCTCTCTCTCTCTCTCTCTCTCTCTATATATATATATATATATATACATACATATATATACACACACACATACAGTGGGGCCTTGACTTACGAGTTTAATTCGTTGGACACCGAGCTCGTTAAGGAGCTCGTTAACTCAAATTACTCTGTCAACTCAATGCAAAAAATCGACCAAGAGACAGCTGGTATCTCAAAAAAGTCGTTAGTCGGGACACTCGTAAGTCAAGGCCCCACTGCATGTGTGTGTGTGTGTGTGTGTGTGTGTGTGTGTGTGTTATTATTATTATTATTATTATTGATTTCAGAGAGCAAGGGAGAGGAGGGAGAGATAGAAACATCATTGATGAAAGAAAATCATTGATTAGCTGCCTCCTGCATGCCCCCTACTGGGGATCTAACCTGACCTGGAATCGAACATGGGAGCCTTCATTCCTCAGGACAGTGCTCTATCCACTGAGCCACTTTAGCTAGGGCCGCTTAAACTCTTGAGTGGTCACCTGTGAGACCCACGGGGCTGGGACTTGAGTGACGGGTAAGGGGAGAGATGTTGGCTGTGACTGCTGAAGGGACACCAAGTGCAGCACCAGGGGAGGTGGGCTCTGGGAATCTGAGATCTGATGTGGTTCTCAACAATTGGGGTTGAAGGAAAAAATAGTCATAGACAGAGGCCTTCAGAGCAGGACTCCAGGCTGCCTCTATGAGTGTGGACTCAGCGCCTGGGCAGGACTTGATCCTGTTTGAATTTGGCAAGCATTCTCTGGACCACACCTGCTGTGTAATGAGTACGAGGCCAAGGAGATGCCTATGGGGGCTGGGGCTGTGGGAGTGCAGGTGTGAGAGAGGTGGGGTAGAAGGAGTCATGTGCAGGTGGAGAGGGAGTGAGAAATCATGACTGCAGGACCCCGATATTGACATAAGAGTGAATGAAGGTGAGTCCATTTCTGGTGGTGTCTGGATCATACAATAAGGGGGATTTTAGGCTAATTTCCTGAAAAGAGGGGTGCTGTGGTGCTGCGTGCCAGTTCCAGAGCTCAGAGGTCATGTATGTGCAAACATGCCTGTCGCTGTTGAGGGATGACACAGGAATGAGCTAGCGTACAACAGTGTCACCTGGGCTTGAATGTCTCTACTGGCACGGGGAAGGGAGAAGGTGAGAGAGAAATACATTACAGAGGTGATGAGTTACAATTTTGGAAAAGAAGAAGATTAGGAAATAAAACCATCCCTGTCACCCCATATGGGTGTTACCTTTGAAGTTAGCCTCTGGGAATGAAGCTGTCTGGCAGGCGTGTGGTTCAAAGAATTATGTGCAGCAGGCAGGGCACAGTGATGGCCTCAGCAAACTGGAATTCGGGTTGAAAGGCTGAGGGGTGATGCCATGATTCTGCTGTCTTTGAGGTACAACCTGGGGGACTCCAAGAGTATTATTGCCTGACAAGGCCATTGCCAAAGCACTCACACTCTCCCTGTGGCCAACATCTCTCCCTAAACTATGTTGATGGAATCACTGTTACTGACAAGGGGCAGTGTGGCCTCCCTGTGAGTCCCAGAGCACAGGTGTCATCTATATGCCCATCTGCCCTATTGTTGTGGGAAGGCACAGTGTCAGTAGGAATATAAGGAGAGAAGGGCTTGGATGGGACAAAGGCCTGTATCTTCTCTGATGTGGGGAGCAGAGGGAGCAGTGGATGTGGTGGGTGGGGCCGATGACAGACTTGGAATCTTAGGAGAGAAGCTGATCATGGAATGAACTCTCTCCATTGTGACAGGATATGGACTTTGAGGACGTGGCCATTGCCTTCTCTGAGCAGGAGTGGGGGCTCCTTGATGAGGCTCAGAGACTGCTGTACTGCGATGTGATGCTGGAAGTGTTTGCACTGGTCTCCTCTGTAGGTAAGACCTTCACATTCTCCCAGTGTCCTGAGTTGATGCCCACTTTTCTCTTTATTCTCCAGATGTAGCTTTCTCCCTCCCACAGCCAGACCACAGGAGGGGCTCTGCTAATTCCCCCACATTCTTGTTAAATGTGCTGTGGCTGCCAGTGGTGAGCTGTGTGGAGAGCCCATCCAATGGACCCCAGGAACATCCATAACACAAGTTGCTTCAAAAAGTGCAGGAAGGGCCTGGGAGTCAGGAGGCTTGCAGAGAGCTTCCTGGGTGCCACCTCGCACTACCTCTTCACGGTGCAGTGATGGTGTCCACCCAACGGCTTCCACTTTTGCCCCTTCCTCAGCTAAAGGCTCTTTGTGACGGCCTGTGCCAGGGTATGGTCTCCCCCCCCCCCCCCCTAATATATTTTTATTGATTTTAGAGATGAAGGAAGAGGGAGAGATAGAAACATCAATGATGATAGAGAATCACTGATTGGCTGCCTCTTACACACCTACTGGGGACTGAGCATGCAACCCGGGCATGTACCCTGGGCCAGATTCGAACCTGGGACCCTTCAGTCCACAGGCAGATGCTCTATACACTTGAGCCAAAACATCTGAGGCAGTGGTCTTTACTTACATGATCCATGGGCGGTTCTTGTAAAACCCTCCTCCAATTGTTTGTAATATGTGTTCCCTGAATACTATGCAAGCTGTGTTGGTCAGGGCCAGTGCTGGCTGCTCACCTCTGTTGTCCTTCACTAATACTCAGAAGATTTAGGTTTGACGTTCTTGTGCAGTAGAAGGTGCAGGGAGAACCCTGTTTTTTCACAGGGTGAACATGCAACATGATCTCAGGAGGCCGGGCCTTGCTTAGTCGTCACTGGGGGAAGGTATGCCACATGGGCTGTGTTCAGATCATACCAGGGACATCCTGGTGTCCAGCAGTGTTTACATGCAAGTGCCACTGGCCATGTCTCACTTCTTCCTTTCCTTTCCCTACCTGACACTTTGCCGACTTGTCATTTATTCTCTGACTTCCTGGCTTCTGGCTACCTTCACCTTTTAGACTTTTTGCATCACCTGCTCCTCTGCACTGCTGCCTCTGCATTCTTTTTTTTTTTTTTTAATATATTTTTCTTGATTTCGGAGAGAAAGTGAAAGAGAAGGACAGAAACATCAATGATGAAACATTATTGATCGGCTGCCTCCCGCATGTCCCCTACTGGGGATCGAGCTCGCAACCCAGGCTTGTGCCCCGACTGGGAATTAAACCGGGACCTCCTAGTTCCTAGGAGGCACTCAACCACTGAGCCACGCCAGCCGGGCTCTGCATTATTCTGTAACATTGACCAACACTGTTATGTGTTGTTAGGTGCACATTCATGCTTCGGTAGTGTTTGACACCAGGTACTGGTTTATTGAATTTTACTTGGAATTCAACTTTACCAACTTCATGCACAGCTTGCCCCCTTCACCAGCACACAAGCCCTGCTGAGCGCTGTTAGCAGAGACTTAGTGCAGGTCTGGCTTCTCTTCCATGAGCTGCTTGCCATGTGTCGTGTCATATTTCTGGTGAGGTCTTTTCTGTTTTGTGATGTTCAATGGATGAGACCTTCACAGAAGCCTCTTATTAATCCTTCCTGCACCTCTCTTATTTTCGGACAATTGCATGGAATCCATGTATTATGTGCATCTTTTGCAATGGGATTTCCCTGGTCACCACAGTCAACACACCTCAGCATTTCTGTCTTTGCAGGTTGTCGGCATAAAACAGATGAGGAGGCCTGTTGTGAGCAGAGCGTATCTGAACAAGGAGAGTCACAGGTCAGGGCCCCTAAGACAGAGCCAGCAACCCAGAGGACCCATCTGTGTAAGCGGTGCTTCTCTGTGTTAAAAGATATTCTGCACCTGACTGAGTCACAGGCAGCATACCTTGAGCCGAAAGCCTTCTTCAGTGACGCATGTGTGAGAGACTTCTGTTTCAGTGCAAACCCGCACCTGCAACAGAGGGAAGCCAGTGGAGAGAAGCCCTGGAAAGAAGCTGTTTACAGGGCCTTGTCTGTTACCAGGTGCAGCTTCTACTCATCTTGGGTGCCTTCATCCAGTAGGGAGGTTGGGGAAGATTTCCCAGCCATCTCAGAGCTTCTCCAGCACCAGGCCCGTCTTGACACTGAGGAGCCACACAGTGGCATTGAGATTTCACAAGAGTTTCTCAATAGAAAAAGGCATCACCAATGGAGTGAAGGTGAAAAATCTGCCAGCCACAAACGGAAATTTGTACAACATCAGGCGGTCTGCTCTGGAGAAAATAGTCATGAGTGTAACAAATGTGGGAAAGTTTTTAGCCGTATCTTTAACCTCAATCGACATAGAAGCGTTCACGCTGGAGAAAACCCGTATGAGGATAGTGATTGTGGGAAGGCCTTCAGTCAGAGCTCTGACCTCAGCCAACACAAGAGGATTCACACTGGGGAGAAGCCTTTCGTGTGCAGTGATTGTGGGAAGGCCTTCAGAGAAAAGTTAACCTTTGTTAAACACTACAGACTTCACACTGGAGAAAAGCCGTATGCGTGTACTGATTGTGGAAAGTCATTCCGGCAATCCTCAGCTCTCACGTATCATCAGAGAGGTCACAGAAGAGAAAATTCTTATGAGTGTAGTGACTGTGGGAAGGTCTTCCATCAAAGGTCCTGCTTTACTATACACCTGAGACTTCACACTGGACAAAAGCCCTATGAGTGTACTGATTGTGGAAAGTCCTTCCACCAAAGCTGTCACCTCACCCAACACCAGAGAGTTCACACTGGTGAAAAACCTTTTCATTGTACTGATTGTGGGAAGTCCTTTAGGCAAAAGTTTACCCTCATTCAACACCACCGAGTTCATACCGGAGAAAAGCCGTATGAGTGTAGTGACTGTGGAAAGTCCTTCAGGCATGGCAATTCACTTACTCTACATAGGAGACATCACACTGGTGAGAAACCTTATGAGTGTAGTGAATGTGGAAAATCTTTTAAGAGCGGTAGTCACCTCCTTTACCACAAGAGAACCCACACGGGAGAAAAGCCTTATGAGTGTAGTGATTGTGGGAAGGCCTTCAGCCAAAAATCCAAGCTCATGGACCACCACAGAAGTCACACTGGAGAAAAGCCTCATGAGTGCAGTGAATGTGGGAAATGTTTTCGCTACAAACCTAGCCTCCTCAGACATCTGAGAGGTCACACTGGAGAAAAGCCTTAAATGTGCAGAGAATGTTTTATCTTTCATCTTTTTCACTCTACAACACTAAGGAGACTCAGACCCATTTACCTGAATATAAACGCCTTTTATCTGAACATACACTCTGCTAGATTCCTCATTTACCAGAGGTACAAGTGAGGCCTGAAGGAGCTGCATTGCACTTGCCAATGTGCCAAGGACTCTTACCTCATTGATGTCACTGCGAGTATTTGTGGCTGAAGAGACCTCCTCTACCACCTGCCTCACCTGAACAGTGTGCACCAGTCACCACCCCTGTGCTCAGGGAAGAGGAATTCTGTGTTCTCCCTTGTGTATGAGGAAGTTATGAATACTCTGAGCTCTTGGCAGGAACTTCATTCCTTACTCTCTAGAGAATTGACCTGACCCAGGGCTCGTCCACAGCCCCCTTCCTCAGCTCAAGAAATGCTACCTCTTTCGGAGACATTGTGCTCCTCACCTCATGCTGTGATGGATTGTTTCCGGTTCCAGTTCACCAGCCTGCACTCTGCTTGCTGTGCACTGCTCTGGTTTATGTTTTTGTAACGGCGTTTTTGCTTTTGTACCTTTAATTTTGTTGGTTCTATTCACTGCCTGGGATGATTTGCAAGCACAGTGGTGATTTGTCAGCATGTAGAATTAACAGATACGGTGGGGATCCCAAACTGTCTGTGAAGGGACAGCAGAATGGCAGAAAACCACTGTTTGTCTAATATTGACTTATTTTGTGTTACTGCCCAAGGCCTTGAAATAAAGACCACGTGACTTTGTGTTTCATTTATACAGGTTTGCTCCCTGGCCCCCCGCTTCTGCTAGAGTAGGAGGCCTCGTTATTGTGTTTCTGTCTCACCTGCCTCCATTACAGGACCATCCACCCTGCTTCGCTGAGATGTGTCTCTGTACAGTCCACCTTTCCTCATGCTCCTGCCTATGCCTGGGCACACTGTGTCCTGCCCAGGAGCTGGCAGAGAGGAGCCCGAGGCAGGCCCCTGGGAGGGATTGGGGTTCTGTGTCCTCCTGAGAGGAGCTTCCAGGGCTCTGCTGTCTCCATCCAGAGTCTCTCCAGCCTGCTCTCCCCGTCCCCAGGCCCCTGGCCCGCTGCAACAGAACCTACTTCTGTGTCTGGGAGAAGCCCCCTGATTTTTGGGCCCCAAATCAGTTCACCTTTGGAAAGTCCTGCCTTTGGCCACCCCACACCCACCCCTGAGGCCCCCTGATGTTCAGTCTCTGTTCTTGCATGTTTAGGAGGAATTTCCTATTTTGATTTTATTAAAAATAAATCCTCTCCTCAGCTGCCTCCCCCCACCCCAGGCGGTCTTGGAGGTGCATGGACTAGTGAAATGATGCTGTGTGCTTCCAGTGCCAAAGAAATTCTGCAATATAAGCATTTCTAGAAAGAGAGTCTTGGACTCAACATGATACCACACTGGGGGGGAGGGTGTGTTGTGGTTGGTGTGCCCACCTCCCTAAATTGGGCCTGAAGACCAGAGCCCTTCCCCTGCAGTGAGGTGAGGGACCCTGGGCCCCGAGGGAATAGTGGGCTGCTGGAGTGTACGGTTGATGGAGCTGAGAGGTTGGGGCCTAGGACAGGGTTGGTGGGGGTGTTATCTGTCAGCACATGGGGCAGGTCCGTGAGTGGGAGGGCTGAGGGGAGGCGCTAGTGATGAGAACCTGAATCAGGCTGAATGGAGGGGGCACAGCTGAGACCTGTAAGGACCAAGGGTGTGGACACTGTTTACCTCAACTGTTCCAGAGTCTGGAGGTACAGAGTGCCCTGCCCTTGGGACCTGGTGTTCTAGTGAAGGACAGCCCACAATCAAGGGGGCAGGTAGCTGTGATAGGAGCTCAGGGGAAAGTGAGCCCAGGGGTGGTCAGTGGGGTCTCCCTGAGGATGTGTGGGGAGAGGTGACAGGCTCCTGTGGGGAGCCTGCCCTGAGCATTCGGGAGCTGAAGGGAGGTCACCTTGGCTGGTTTGGACAATGAGGGTCAGAAAGTGGGTCATGGCTGGGCAGTGGGCTCTGTGAAAGGACTTAACCTTCCCCTCAGGAGGCCTCACAGTTTGCCTGGAGCCCCAGGCTGCCTTCTGAAAGGATGATGTGCAGAACCTTCAGCAAAATCCCTGCCCAGAGGGAATTGGACAATACTGAGTGCAAGTAAAACATCCAGTGGCTTAAATATGTTTGCTTATTTATTGATTAACAGTGTGTGTGTAAGGTACTTCAGTATACTCACCACCAGGACAGGTCTCCAGAGGAACATGATGAAGAAATTTACAAGGAGACAGCAATGATGGTAAACTTCCCCGGAATTTCAAAGTATCTGGTCGGAGATCACCATAATGGGGCAGGATATGCAATAGAGGAAATAATGTTTGAGATGAGCCTGAGACGTACAGTACATCTGTCTCAGGAAATCATCTACAGAAACCCCACACCAGCCTCCACGAGGTCTCCAGGGGAGGCTCTGCTGTTTTGTTTTTATAAAGAGGAAGGGAGAGGGATAGAGAGCTAGAAACATCGATGAGAGAGAGACGTCGATTAGCTGCCTCCTGCACACCCCCTACTGGGGTTGTGCCTGCAAGCAAGGTACATGCCCTTGACAGGAATCGAACCTGGGACCTTTCAGTCCGCAGGCTGACGCTCTCTCCATTGAGCCACACCAGTTAGGGCCAATGCAGGATTGGGGTGAGGGTAGAAGCTGATACATAAAGAGTGACTGTCAGCCCTGACCGGTGTGGCTCAGTGGATAGAGCGTCGGCCTGCGAACTTGCCCTGCAAGTTGTTTGACGCCTGCTTCCTGTGTCACTGGCCGTGTTCTTAGACATTAGAAACGTGGGTGTCTCTTCGTAAAGCAGTGTCTAGTTCACCATGGCCCTCTTCACTCCAGGGTCTTAAAATTTTGTAGAAATCCCTCAGAATCCCCTTCTCCCATGGGAAATTTATCCCTCGAAGACTAACCTAGGTTTATTGAAATAAAGAAATGACTTTATTCAGAGATCCTCAGATTTTAGTCCTTAAGTAAAAGCGAGATGATGATCATGACAATAGTGTGTGATTTTTCTGAGGTCCGTAATATTGATTCTCTTAGCCTCTGAGGTGAAAGAGGACAGACTTCCACTGAGTTCAGGTGGTTCCTTTTTTTATTTTTTTTTATTTATTTTTTTTATTTTTTATTTTTTGTGGCTGAGAACCGAGTTTTTTTTTGTTTGTTTGTTTGTTTTTTGTTTTTTTTTTGGGTTCCTTTTTAAAAAAAAAAAATATTTTTTATTTCAGAGAGGAAGGGAGAGCTAGAAACATCAATGATGAAAGCAAATTATTGGTTGGCTGCCTCCTGCACGCCCCCTACTGGGGATGTGACCACAACCAAGGTACATGTCCTTGACTGGAATCGAACCCGGGACCCTTTAGTCCACAGGCAGACACTCTATCCACTGAGCCAAACCAGTCAGGGCTGACAGTCACTCTTTATGTGTCAGCTTCTACCCTCATCCCAATCCTCAACCCGAATGCTAGGGACCAACACTTTCCCCAAAGTGCCATGAAAATGAGTTCCTAGAAACATACAATGAACATGACAACAGCCACACACACACAGACTTGCCTGGATGGGGTCCCCTGCAGTCCAGCCAGCTCCTGCCCAGCTAAAGCCACAGCCAGCCCAGACCTGGTGCCTGAGAGACCCCCTCTCTCTGTGTCCCTGGGAACCCTGTCCTCACAGCCCAGCCCACATGCACATGCCTGTGGACACACACACACACACACGGGAACATTGCCTTCCCTTCCTGAGACTCACCTCCTCACGGACACAGACGTTCACGCTGGGTGATCCTGGCCCAATGCTGAGCTGCTGTGGGGCTTGGCTGTCAGCGCTGGTGCCTCTGATGTGCTTCCCAAGGCTCCTGCCTTTTATAGGCCCTCGGTCCGAGATGAGATTCAAGCCTGTGATTGGATAAACTCAGCCTGTGAGGAGTGTCTGGTGGCATCCTTGCCCTCTGGCTCCAGCTCTCACACCAGACCTACACCCCCTGGGCAGGAGCGAGGGACCATCTCCACACACACTCCTTGTCTGCGGGGGCACTGGACCTTCTCACTAAGGGGGATGCGAAGGTGAGCATCATCTCAGGGACATTCTGGTCAGGTTAGGTCATAAGGGAGTCTCCTACAAACTTCAGAGAGGGAGAGGTAGACAGCCAGAGAGAAGGGGAGGGGGAGAAACATCAATGATGAGAGAATCATTCATTGATTGGCTGCCTCCTATATGCCTCCCACTGGAGATGAGCCTTAAACCCAGGCCTGTGCCCTGACCGGGAATCCAACCAAGACCTCCTGGTTCATAGGTGGACGCTCAACCACTGAGCCATGCGGCCAGGCTCCTACAAACATGTAAAACGGGCTCACGTACTCTCCTTCCAGCAACAACAGTTTATCATTGAAGACAGCTCCCTTGCCCTGGCTGGTTTGGCTCAGTGGATAGAGTGTCAGCCTGCTGACTGAAGGGTCCTGAGGGCAATTCCTGGTCAGGGCACCTGCCCAGGTTGGGGACTAGATCCCAGTAGGGGGCGTAAAGGAGGCAGATGATCAAGGGTTCTCTCATCATGGATGTTTCTCACTCTCCCCATCTCTCTAAAAGTCAATAAAAACATTTAAAGGAAAAAAGTAGTGTTAAGATTGAATTGTCTCAACAACATCAATGTGAGTGTGGGCCCTCTTGCTTTCTTTCCATTTTTATAAGGAAAACCATGCCTTGGCCGGTGTTTATAGAGGGTTCCCCAGGCATAACTGTGTTTGGGGACAGGAAGCAGCCTGGAGCGGGTCGGCCTCAGGTTGGCCTGTAGTGTTTGATTCTTGACTTCATGCTGAAAAGATTTCACAACGTGAATTGAGGAGATTTTGGGGGAACGTTTATTGAAGCTGGGGATAGTGATAAAAGGAAGGGATCAGGATAGAGCAAGCAGCAGCAGAGCGGGGCTCCCAGGGCTCTAGGAGCACTGGGAAATGAGGGAAGAAAGCGGGGCTGCGGATAGCTCTCTGGACAATCAGAGAAAAGGGGGCCTTGAGCGCAGGTTCAGGGGCTCAGCCTGGGACGAGCTGCTGCTGCTTCTTCGTGCTACCCTGGTTGCAGGTCAGGTGGGGACCCTTACAAGGTGAGGAGAGAGTCGTCCTGGCAGCAGCCGCAGCGGCTTTCATCTCTCATCTTTCCAGGCTCTTGGTGTCATTTTCGGCTTCCGGAAGCGTGGCCTCTGGTGTGGCCATCTGTGATGGAGTCATTACAGTGTTGAGGGACATGAAGGCGCGTCAGGCCTCCACACCCGCGGAGGCGAAGTCGAGAAGACCATCTGTCAGGGCCAGCCTGACAGGTTGAGCCGGGCTGAGGTAGGGAGGTGGGAATTGAGAAAAGAAAGAAAGACAGGAGAGCGGGATCGGGAGGACTACAGCTCAATTGAGGATCTGCAGCAAGTTTATAACCACACAATGCTATTTATACACAAGACACTGAATAGGAGGTCTGTCAAGAGGAATGTATTCTTTGTTCTTCTTAACCTCTAAGGGAGAGACAGAGCGGAAGGACAAGTTCTCGGTACAGCAAATCTCTGTAAATAGTTACAGACTTCCTGGTAAGCCATGAAAGGCTGTTCTCATTCTACAAAGGTTGCTCTCATTCTACTGATAACCGCCATCCAAACAAGTCTGGGAAGACTGTGTGGGTAAGGATCCCAGCCTTGCTAGCCCCTTCGGATGCAAGGACCGTGTCAGCTTACACCCGGTCTCCAACAACCGTCAT